AAAAGCATGGTTTTATTTTAATGAGCACACTTGATAAAATATGTTCCACCTGCTGCCCCCTTTTCTGTGTTTCACTGATAACATGACCCACCACGCTGAAACATTGTTTCCTGAAATGCTGTAGGCAAACCTGAGGGTGAAAAGACAAAAAGGGAAGTGAATGTTAAACAGAGTGGGAGAGAAAGGAACTGTGTGGCTCTGTGAGGAAATCGGACGAAAGTGGTAAAAGGTAAAAAAGGTGTGGTTAGAGTTGGATATAATAAGGGAAAAAATAAGTGCATATTCCTTTTATATTTTGCGCATCATGGAATAGAGAAGGAATAACTCTATCCTCATCTTTACACAAAATTCCCAACAGTATCCATGGGATATGAATGTGGGAAAAGAAGATAGATTTCAGTCACAGTAACATGAGTTTAATGTTAATGTAATGGAGTTCATGTTTTGGAAAGTGTTTGTAAGTTTGGGAAAATTAAATTTCTTTTTAAAAAGATCTTTGAGTAAAGGAAAGAAAAATCAGAAATAGAGAGGCTACTATGTTTACTTTCCTTAACTACATCTAACCTAACTGTTTTTAACATCATTCCAGGTTTATTTTATAATTTATATATTATATATGTATACTCACACACACACACACACACACACACACACACACACACACATACACACACACACACACACACACACACACACACACACACAACTGTTCATGAATTTGCACTTTCCACAAGTATCTAAGAAAATGGTATTTAAGAACAATTCCTTCGTTTACAGACGTAACGTCTACAAACAGAGGTAATTACTTAGGACCAGTTCATGATCAAAGGAGGATTTGGGGCAAGAAAAGCATCCCAGCAGAGGAATACTAGTCCTTCTGAAGTATATGGCAATACTCTGATTGGCTTACAGGGGTGGATTTCCTGCTATACACTGTTTTTTCAATTTAACATTGAAATCTTTCTCACTGCCAGTCACAGTTTGTGCAAGCACTTAATTCTGTTTTAGCTAGGACTCACCTTGTATAAATGGTTAGCCCAAAGCTTCACCTAAATTCTTCTGCGTTGATAAATTTTACTTTTCAGCCTGTCCTAAGACAATGGTTCCTTCAAGTCTCCCCTTCAGAGTTTTTAATGAAAAGAAATATGGCCTATTTCATGAGGACATATCTTATATGTTTTTAGCCTGCTCAAAATCTTCTTCTGTTCCATACAAACAGCTATATTTTGTTCCTGACAAAGCATCAACTTGCAACAAACAGCTTTGATCCTGAACACATGCTTCATTTTCATTCTGTAATTTTATTCCATGATGCTCTTTATTATTCTGTAGTCTGTCTACTGTGAGCCATATCCCACAAGTCATTGCCACATTGGGTCAAGCTATGGGCCTAATTGTGACAAGAGAAAGAAATCTCTGAAAGAATCCACCTATTCTTAGCAGATACGGTAGGCGAATAATAAATCAAAGCAAGAACTTGGATAACAGCATTCATGCATGTTAGCACATTGAATGAGTTGGGAAGTATGGACTCTTGGGCTGTTCCGAAATTTGTTTATTGCAAACCACTTAATCACAAAATTAAGTAATCTAGTTTTGGCAAATGACAGTTTAGTGCCCAGTTTTGCACATGAATCTACTTACTAAACTCCCATTGATTTCATGCCAGACTTTTGGAATGGAGGGTGAATTTACCGTGTGCATTGTAACAGTCTTCACTTCAAAGGCAATTAATAATCATCTACAGTCTGATCCATGCCTTAGGGAAGTATTTGGATGTGTACTTAACTCTTTCTGATTGATCAGTGTACCTGAAATTATGTATGTTCCATTCTGGTTCAGAAATAGATTTCTAAATCAGGACAAATGTTTAATTGGATATACTTCAATTCAGGAAAACGACGAGTGTAGAAAGCTTCACAGAATTTACGGAGGTGGAGATGAAACTCCTAGGTGACTATAAAGCAGTAACCAATTTGTCATCTTTTGCACTGACCTCCTGTGAACACAATTGATGATAGGGAAGGACAGTTCTGAACTTGTCCGAACAGTGACCAGAACATCCAGCTGTTTAACCTAGAGTGTCTGAACAGCTATTACATATCACATTAATTTCAGAGGCCTCAACTGATATATTGTGGTAGACTGTAGATGATTTCTTCTGAGGAAGCTTCCAACTGCTCTGTGCTGTCTGACATATCAGTTTGTACCAACTGGTACTGATGACTGTGAAGTGGGAGTTTAAGTAACTGCAAGTTCTTCAGCTTGGCTGGAGGAGGTGCAGCCTTTATAAAAGAAATTCCAAGGCAAATGATTAGATAGTTTTGTTTTAAGTTCGTCATGACCTTACTGTTACCAAGAACAGGAACAATCATATTTCCTGTTGCATCATATTTTACTTAATGTGTCACCGTTCCTTTCACTCCATTTAAACTGTTCTTACTGAAGTGTCTACTTACCCCTTCTTACTCAGATCTCAAAACTACCCAGACTAGCTTTGATCCAAGAACATGGACTGAATGCCCGCTAGCAGTTGAAGCACATTACATACACCCTTGGAGCACATGTGTAGGGTTAGTTTCCACTGAAGAGAGCCCATCCAGTTCATGAGCTCCAAGACTGCTCTGTGATGCAAACCAAAGCTCAGTAAGTGGAAACAATTGGGAGATTCACTTCCAAAGCATGCCTGTGGTATGAACTGAAATGTAAATGTAAATGCACTCTTAACTGTCATCTTAAGTGAACATAACTAAAATAGAGCTGTTCATCCTTACTGTCCATTCTGTTACCTCTTTCCCCTCTGCCTCCTTTTGGAGTGTGGACTTACTCAGAGATCCAGCAAACTCATCTCCAAGCTCGTATGACTTAGAATCTTAATTATTCAGCATAACTTTCTTTGCCTTTAGATATGATCTTGCTTCACTCATAGCAACCCAGAATACTTCTGCAAAGCTCCTTTTTCAAGATGCTTCTAGAGCACGTCAACCCTTCTCTTGCATTATAAAGCTGTTGTTTGGATAATTTCTCCCTATCCCGTTAAACCTAAGCTGCTGGTCTTCGTATTCAAAATCCTTCACAACTTGTTTACACCTTATTTATCATTTTTCATTCAATGATTATTTCTTACCTCATTCTTTGCCTATCACCATTAACGTTTTCAGAGGAGTATTGCGTGCTTTCTGCATGCTGCCTCTCACATTTAGAGCTGTCTTTTGACAGATGGCTATAAAAAAAACCTTGAGAATGGCTATAAAAAAGCTTGAGAATTATTTGGGTGTTAATTTACTGTGGCATAGCCTGTCGAGCTGACCAGCATGGTCCCGTTATCTGTCTCTTTTAACTTAAATTGTAAGCTCTTTGAGGTATCGTTTTCTCGTTTCCTAGCATGGATGCAGGTGGTTAGTAGTTATTTTGTTATAGAAACAAATATATGATTGCGCTTTTATTTCTGTTGCAGCTCACGTATATAATCTTTTTTCCATTTCCAGAAAGCTTCTCTTGTCTTGGTTAGGTAAGACATCTGGTCAGTATAGCTCAACTGCAAGGCAAGGATTGTAAGAACTGTTTCAATTAGCAAAAATCTCCCAGTCACAAATATTACAATGTTGTTACTGGAAAGCAGGGTTATACAAGGTTACTTCTAGTCCTTGTAGTCTTTCTGGAGTTGGGTGGTTGGAGGGTGGAGTCGTATTTCTTTTTAGTGCAGTTAAATCACAGGGTTAAAATGGTTCAAATATTGTTTTCTCATTTAGTACTATGCATTCATTTAGTCACTAAGATACAGACCTGTTTTTAGTGGAGTGGTATAATTGGCCAGTAGTGGCTCTGGTAGATACGCAAAATGCACTAAAATATGTGAGAATGACCACACAGTCAAGACAGCAGCTTTACCACGTTCAACTGTACCAGCAAATTTACAGGAAAGCAGCAATGTAGCATTAAATGACACAGCAGGAGAATACCCTGTATTAAGCTCTTACCATTCTGAGAACAGTCTAGGATGTATCTTGCTCAGTTCACTCTTGCAAGCAAGTAAGTGCCTCCCTTGCTTGACCTGGCTAGCCTCATAAAGTCGATCTTGAAACAGTCCAGTATTTCTTGTGCCCCTGTGTTCCCTAGCCATAAAAGATCATCAGACATCTATTTTTGTTTTATATACATATCTTAGCAGTAGCTTAGGAACCAGTCTTACATCTCTTTTTACAGATGAAAAATGTGAGCGTGAGATTACGGGCTATATTCAACTGGACCGGATTCAACGCTCACCACTCATGCTGGCTACTCGCTTCAACCCTCTGGGCTGCTCTTCAGAGACACCTAGATCTTGCCCTTGACGATACGCAGGTGCTTAGGGAGAATTTAGGCCACTGAAATACTGCTCCATGCGTTTCCCTGGGTCATACAGGATTTATGCAGCACACCAGGAAATTTAACTTGGGTCTCCAGAGGCCTAGGCAAGAGCCTTACACCTTTCTTCTTCCCTAGCAGACTTTCACTTACCTCTGGAAGATTTCCTATATCAATAATTGATATTTAGACTTAGGTTAATGAGAGAAAAAGATCAAATATTTTTATTAGACGTTGTCATTCTGAGTGTGCTTATGTAAGGACTCAGCTTAATTCTTTCAGACTTTCTGAAAATAGGCCCCATACAATTTCCGTGCAATCTTCTCTTATGCAGAAAATTAAGAAATATTTTACGTCTACTAATGTAGATTAGCTGCTTTGAACTAGTAGCTTCCAAAAATGTTTGCAACTTAGAATATACGTTTGTGTGTGTTTCCATACATATGCATGCACAGTTTGTCCATATTTAAGGATTGAACAGCTGTGTTGGTGCATATCTGAGGCTGGTATGACACCAAGTATGAATACAGTAGGTATTGCTAAAGTTGATTTTAAATTCAAAATGATCGTCATTGGGCCAGTCACTTATTAGTCCCTGTTCCATTTACAACCTCTGTTTGTATTGATGTTTATTCCTATTTTTTTCCACTCAGATGTGGCAAGAGCAATTGAATTACTGGAGAAACTGCAAGAATCTGGAGAGGTACCAGTACACAAGCTACAGTCCCTAAAGAAAGTGCTGCAGAGTGAGTTTTGTACAGCTATCAGAGAGGTATGGAACTGAAATTTTTAGCTGTTTCTCAGAATGGCATCCATAATCATAAAAGGAAAAATAGACTTGCTTTTCAGTGCTGGAGAAGTGGAGTACCTTGTATGAGGGATGATGGATCTGAGATGTGTCTCTAACCGCCCGTCTGCTATAGTGCAAAATGCTGAAGTTATTGGAAAGCAGAAACAGAACAATTGCATCAGCAAGGCATCGAGTCTGAGGCAATTAGCCTTGCTAAGGGGAAGGGGTGATTAATTAGTACTTTTGTGTTCTATTCATGCTGTTTCAGGGTTTGTGCTAACCTGTTCAGCTCCGTGCTGGGATCTGGGGACATGCCAGATTGGGTCAGTGCAAGCTGAAGTGCATCTTCTTTGAACTCAGGTGTAGGATACGGATGGGCTGTGAAAATCAGAACGCTGTGAAAGACAAACAGTGCAAGCACTAAAGTTAACTGGTAACTGAAGCTAATGGGAATCTTGCAGTTGGATTCAATGGTCGAGTCCTAGTGGGTCTTGCTGCATGTGTCAGAAATTCTTGTCAGATTGCTAAGAACTGTGATTGTTATTCTACAAGCCACGGTCTGGGGACTTCCTAGCTCTGCCCAACAAGAGATGATAAGCGATGGCTATCTTCTTCCAGACACGCTAGAGGAGAAGCACCCCCATTCCCACATACCTACAAACAGTATCTTTAAAAGGGTTAAAATGTAAATACTTCTCTAGCTGATTCTTGGACAGAAGCTATGAATGTGTCAGACTTTTTGCTTACTAAGTTGAATACTGTTAGCAGGCCAGACTGAAGTGATTCTAAATGCCGTAATGGAGGCAACAGCTGTTCACCAGAAATTCTCTAAGAACTTCTGGTTCAGTTTAGCTGTCTAACGCCTGAAATGATTCCTCCTTCACTAAAATCAATAGGAAATCTGTTGTTACCTCAATGGTAGCAGGACTGAACAGGATAACTGATTGAGCACAATAACTAGGCAACAGCACCGCATTGATTGAGTAGGCTGCTGGGTGGCTGGAAGGAAGAAAGAACAGACATTAGTTTAATAAGCAGAATGCAACACACTCTTTGTTTTATGGAATATATTCTTCAATGTGAGAAACAGAGAGAGGTTTCCACTTCTTAGCTGGCAGTTTTCAAGGCTTTTTAAAAGGAATACTGTTCCATAACAATAAGTAATGGCACTGTGTACCCTGAAAAGCTGATGCTTTGACTAGTCCTTTCATTTAACCAACTAAATGCTTCTTTAATTGACCACAGAGCACTGAAGAGTTATTTTTCTTCAGAAAGCAGAGCCTATCTCTCAAACTGTGAGGAATTTTCTGTCTCTGCAGCATCATCAGTGAAATCTTAACAAATCGGTGTTCGTCTCTGGAAAAGGTTCTTAACAGGAGCAAACGCATAGCTCTTTGAAGCGGGTATAGAGCCTAGGAAGAGGAAAATAGCTTAGACTAGTGCACTCTCAGTCCAGTGAACCGAAAGCAGATTTTTGACAATATCATTTCAATGGCACAGAAGGTCTTTTAGAGAGCGTTGTATGAACCCCCCACTACAACATTGTCCTTTACCCTTGTGTATATTTTTGTTATTTATTCAAAGCTGATGCTATATTCTAGTCTTCTGATTGGTGAAGATTATTAGGACAGATGAAGTGCAAGGCTCTAAAAGTGAATGCATGATTGGACTACTGAGAAGGTATATTCATATACAGCATAACACTAGGCAACCTGAATTGATGAAGGGAACACTGGTCTGACAATAAACCTTAAAGAGCTGGAGGCAAGAAGTTAATGTACGCAGCTAAGCAAAAACACACTAAATCATCAACACAGAAAGTGACATGCCTTTGCAAATTATGGGAATTTCATTTACTGTTAACATCTGGTGATCAGTACTGAAACGCCTTGAGAATAAGGATACAGATTGATAAACTCACGCATCTTCTGATGAGTGGAAGTTTTCTTTTAAGTTGTTTCTGAAAATTCTGTTTTTCTGTATGTTAAATAGCAGTGTAAAATCTAGATATGTCAGGCTTTCCTTCTATCCTTCTTTCTCCATTTTCCATTTCAAGATTCAATCTAATATTTTTCTGTGTGCATATTATTTAAAATGAAATCTGACAGGTAAATACCAATAGTGAAATGAATCACTGTATTACATTTATCTGTATAAAATGTAATCAGATCAGAAGGTCTGTATAAAAATCTGGTTTAGCAGTCAGAAACACAAAAATATTCGTTATTTTATTCTGTTATCTTAGGACTCCTACCGAAATATCAGGTCATCACCCAAAAGAATTTTTGCAAGACTAGGTCGCTGACAATCATTTCGTAAAAGAAGAAGCCGTCAACACAAAATATTCTGCTGTTGTTGCATGTTTTGTGTGAAATTAGTCTGTGGAAAAACGTGTTCTTTTTGAAGATAGTTTAGTTTCTACTTCCCTAACTTAAGACGTGTATACTTACTATAAAATTATTTTACGGACAGAGCATCCTAAAAATAACGAAACCACTAGTGAAATCCAGGCACAAAAAATGGCAGTGACAGAAGTCAAGCCCATTTCTGAGGAGGTCTGGATTTCCCCCTGGTTATTTTAGAGACATATTTGATTATATTACGTAATACTAAGAACATAGTTTTACTATTTGTTAGATAGGATAGTTTAACAAGCATGTATTCTTTCACCACTCCTAGCGAGTATATTTGAATGATTTTCTTTAATTAATAATGGTGCATTTTCATGCCTTAGCAATCCGAATTACTAGAATCCCAGTAATGCTGACATGCAATTTATTATTATCTGGTCATTTTCTCAAACTGCCTACCTGTGCTTTATGTTATTGACCCTGGTATGTGTCTGTGCAAATATTAGGGAGCCACATTAAGGTTGCTGGGTGGTGAAAGCTGAGTCTAGTGATACTGTGCTTATTAAATTACTACGATACAGTATATGACAGCAGCAAGCTGGCTGGAACCCGTAGCTGTTCACTCCAAATAGATACTCTAATTCATTTACTGCTTTTTAAAGGGCTCTACCAAATGTCACAGTCTGCTTATTGGCTGGACTCGGGTGAAAATTCTCATTAATTTCTTCTGTTAAGATTATTCATTTAGAATGTAGGATGCCAGGAGTCATTTAAAACTCTTAGTTTTATTGTGTTTCAAGAACCCCAAGATCCGTTTGTTCAGTTTGCAGTATAACGCTGTTCTTCCAGCCCCTAGACCTAGCTTCTGAAAGCCACATTTCTTTTTTTCCTGCCTGATGAATCTTATTCCCAGTAAAAACAGAGGTTCTACAGGACCAACTCTATTGGCTTTTACCTATGGCAGCACCAGAATTCAATTTCTGCCCTCCATTACTTTTCCTTTTCAGTCACTGGGGCTGAATATTTGTCAGAGGAAGGAAAAAGAATTCCGTTCGGTCTTTCATTCCCGCAATGCAAACCCACCTATTAAAATAAATTAGAAGATGAAATTTTGAAAATATATTTATGTAAGTATAGAGAAGATTTACAGCTAGAGATGCTGTAATTCACAGCAATACAGGTATTAGTCAGAATTAAGCAAAAGTGGTATGTTGGACCTCTAATAAGATAATTAGTAAACAAAAGGCCAATAGGACAAATCACATGACTAAAAAGCAAGCAAGATTAGTGTCTCAGCTCGGATTAGTACCTCAGGTCAGAAAAGCAGTATGATCATATTAGCAAGATGTACCATTAGACTAGCTGGGAAACAATGTTCTTTTTAGGCTAATCGGTTACCTTGTTTTCGTATTCCAGATATCTTATTCAGAATTACTGTGCTGTTAATTTAGTAGTAGCAATTCTGCAGTAGCAAATACAGAATTGTCCTCAAAAGTATGCAGAAGCGTCACTGCCTCCAGTTGCCTGCTTTTGGTTTTGTTAAGTAATGTTCTACATTTCTTAAGGAAACTTGTATTACTCTAAAAGTCTCTGTGAAGTTGTATTTTCAGGACAGACCTTTATTAGCACAGAATAAAATTGTCGATTTAAAACTAATGCTACCTTTTTGACACCAAATGATCAGACATCAAAGAATTTAGAAAGTCATCTTGGACCGAATTCATTAATATTTTCACATGCTGATGCATAGATTAAATTGTATCTTTCATTAAAATTAGAGTTACTGAAAATTAATTCTACAGTTTCAGTATTTTTTTAGATACTGAGGTGGGCTCTATTTTCAGCGGAACCAGTCCAGTTCACCTCAATTCTGTGACAGTGTACCATTTGCAAGAATCTGATCCTTTACATTTTCCAAAACTAATATCCCAAGCCTTTTCAAGGAACATGACCTACATGCCACTGAAAGCATTGAATTTCTGTCCTTAACTCTGGGTTTTTCAAGATTGCACACAGGAGTTGTAAGAATTGTAAAAGTTCAGAATCGGTCACAGACCCTTACTTGGTCAAGTCAGTAAGCACACAAAATACTTTGCAGACAGTCTTTGAGATTCGTCTTTCTTAAATGTCTCCGGTGCAGACATATATGCATTTGAATCATTCAAAACTCCCTTTCTAGTCATTGGAGAGAAATAGGTACTCTTAAGACACAATTCATCTAACTTATTTTAGACATCAACATTAGGATGAAGTGCACCTTCAAAGTGTCTGTTACTCCTCAGTGACTATGTAGGGAGCCAGTGCAGATAGTAATGGTAGATGTCAAAGTTTGGGCATAAGTCCCGCTCAATGTGTCAGGAGTGAAAAGCCACATACAATAATGATTAAAAGTTCTACTAAATCAGTACAGACTCATCAGCCTTTGGAAAGGGCGTTACTTAACTTCATTCAAACATGATATTGGTATGGCCAAATATTAATGTATTCATGTAACGATGCATTGAGGGAAAGACTTGCAAGGTTTTTAACTTCCAGCAGGAAAACAAAATTGCCAAATTTCAAAAGGCAGGCTACCTGCTTCTTGTCTTGCCACCATGCTGCATTATGCATTTAGAAGGTTCAGAAGCTTGA